CTGGGGTTGTGCATCACAATTATTAGCATTATATTTCTTCACGTTTTAGAGCAGCGGCACAATATCTTTCAAAGGTTTTATACAACACTGTGTAACATTTTAATACACGCGGCACGCCGTAGTGCTCTTCTGCATGTTAATTCGTCGGCGGAGGAGTCGTCTTGGTCGGAGCGCGTTTAGCGATGCGTTAACACTCTCGTGTGTTTAATGTATGTGTTTGTGTGTGTGTGTGTGTGTGTAGCATAGTGGCATATACGGTGCAGGTCGTGCGCGCTGTGAACAAAAGAAGAAAAAAATGTACCGATGTACCTACATATAGTAATAATACATTTGCAGTATGGGTCGGAAAAAAAAGGAAGAGGCGAGAGACGCACGTCGTCGTCGTCGAGGCGGCGGCATTCGGTGGGTTTAATTTTTTTTCGTCTGCGTCCCGATAACACGCCCATATTATACAGGGCGATTCACGCCGAGCATCATGACCTCCCCATTTTATCCTTAAATTTATCATTTATTCAAATTCTTTGAAATTTTTTTTACAGTGATCGCATGTTTTCAGGCACTGAGATTTTGAAAACCGTTTGATGGGGGATTGTTTATAGGTGACACCAACTTTTTATTTTTCAAAGGAATACACACTTTTTTAGTTTATTTTAATAAATTGTTTATAAGAGGAAAGATTGGGGATCATAACAGGGGAATTACCGCAGTGCATTTGATAATTTTTCAGTTCGTCGATATAATATGTATAATATTATTATGTCATATAATCATCGAAAAATGCGGCATAAGAGACTTGTATGCAGAATAAACATATATTATTGTTGGTCGTGGACGGCCGCGGATCATGTATTGTAGTATAAGTATGTAGGTACTAGGTACCTCCATAATACTAAACACATATTTCATCATTATTTTATATGTTTCTATTATATTGTCATTACCCAAAATTGTAACTTTCTAAACCAATAAAACTGAATAAATAAATAATTTAACTGTAAAATATAAATGATAAAATTTAGGTTTTAAAAAATATATTTATTTTTGTTTTCTTTCATTTTTTTTTTCATTTCAAAAACTTTCAGAACAAAACAATCTTATTAGGTATGCCTCGTATATAGGTATATAACAACTAAACTTACGCGAAGGGTTTTTTTAGTGTGCAGTGAGACACATTTTGTGCAGTGAGAAAAGTAATTGTGCAGTGAAAATTGTTACTTTGTGCAGTGCAAAAAACGAATTTCAGGATGATATATTTTATTGTTTTTTATAAAACAATAATTGAGTAAACTTCAAAATAAAAAAAAAATGTTTCTATTAAAATTAAAAATTGTTCATTTTATTCATTATTATACAACTTAAAAAAAAAAAAAAAAAACAAATATCTGACATCTTTAAGCACATGCTTTTGTTGGTGGTAGAGAGTTATATAACTTAATATGAACAATTCAATTATAAATAAGAAAAGTGGACAAGAGCTGAATAATCAATCTATACAATTAGAATACTTATAAGTTATAACTAATACAGTAGACAGTAGACAGTAGTTTAGTAGGTACTACTGTACTAGGTAGTATAGCCGGCGCAGTTCACAGGGGTGGCTCCAGAGATATGATTAGGGGGTGACCAAGTCATAATTTTCAGAAAATCAACGGATAACAGTCCGTATGGTTTGGTTTGCGTAGACAAATTCCCTACTATAAGTCTATAACCCAAGAGTGGGAATAAGTTTGTGTAGTCAGAAAAAATCATTAAAAAAACCTTGCTTGGACGTCAACTAAAAATAAATACTTATACATACCTGTCATACCTATATACACAGTCATATGGGTTTGAGTCGGCCCGAATCTATGACTTCATCGATATACTATTATAATACTGTCAATATATATATTATATAGTATATATAGTTACGACTATATAGGCGTCTACCACATAAATAATATTGTACTACCCAGCAGCTCGCCCACAGTAATAACGATACAATATCGCGTTGTTCGTTAACCGACCGGAAATAAAAAATAATCTCGACACCCCCTCTCCCACAGCTGTGGTGGGTCGGGGGGAAAGGGGTTTGAGACGGGGCCGTCGTGCTCGGTTGGCGGCTGACGGGTGGTGGACGCGCTAGCCGACGATAAGCGAAAATTAAACCCGACGAAATATAAGTCACCCACTAGCCACCCGCCGACACCCACCAACCACCCAAGGCGTGTGTACGTGCCTCGGCAACTCGCTTCGCCCGCACCGCGGATAAAATGATTTTTCGTCCGTCATCATCCGCGAGGCTTTCATAACACACCCGGCCGCGTGCGTACCCATCACATACCTATATATATATATATATATAATATTATAAATATATATACACAGGTTAGTATATATATATTTATAACTCGTGTCACACGTGTTGTGGATATATATTATATAGACTGCTGCGAGCGAGTATATACGTTATACGTATACCTGTATAGTGTGTATCTATATATATATATATATATATAGACGTATATAATATTATATAGTCGGTAGGTATAAACAGTCGGTGCGTACGTGCACTGCACCGGTGGCCATACTAAATATATATATATATATATTATATACACGTGCTTTCGGATCAATTTAGATGAGACATGTACTCTGGCTGAGTTATAATGGCGTGCAGTATGGTTCGTCTGACTTTCGCAGCAGCCCGGTGCAGTTATTTTAATAATATATATCCCACAGAATAGTGTGTGCGCATAATTATTATCATCTTATAGGTTTAGTAAGTGCATAATATACGAATGTCGCTTCAACAATAATAAAATATACAGACTGATTAAAAGTAAACACGACGTATGAACATATTTTTAAAAAAAAGTTTTAATTTTGAACTTTATAATATATATATTACAAATTAATATAACGTACATTAATGACTTAAAATCCGAAACCAGAAAGTTTTTACTTAAAAATTTCGATGCGTAAAATTTTATTTTTTTACGTGTGAGTAGTAAATAAGACGTTATAAGTATTATTAGAAGAGCTTAGACGTGCTTTAAATGCTTGTTATAAATTAACTACTCCCTTCGAAATCCACAATGTATACAGTTTTTCAAAAAAAAAAAAAATTAAAGATGACATAATATATTTAAAAGTAAAACTTTAATTTGAACCAAATTGTAATAAATATTAAAATATACCTAAGTAGGTATTTAAAAATTTAAAAAATATGATTTTAATTTTCAATTTAATGCGCGTTTGCTGTTAAAAAAACACTTGGTATATAGAGTGTACCTAAATGGTAATATTATGATGTATTTTAATCAGTGTACAATCGTAAATTCATCCAAATACACCCTAATAGGGTGCTGACCCTACATCATAATAATATACAGTCTACATGTAAAATAAATCCTTCTATGCGGTTGGAGTCGGAAATTCGGTGAGGTATAATATTATATTATATACGATTTAAATTTGTTATGTGCACGACGATAATATAATATAACCCACATTCAGTTCAGTAACTCGACTTTTGGGTCACCTGTATGATTGGCGGTTAATCTTTATTAAATGACGAAAACTAAATAAACGATTTTGTAGTAAACGTATTAGTCATATAATGTTTTTGTTCTTACGTTGTAAGTAAAATTCGAATGAATTACAAAAACAAAGGAGTGTTAAAATGGATAAACTGAGTTTGATAACTGGTTTGATATTATTCGAATATTTCAACTATCACCTAGGTGAACTCTAACTTTGTCAATTTTGCTATAAGAAAAAGTCTAACTGAATCTGTAGGGGTTATTCTGGTGTTGTCATTATAAAAACAAAAGCGAGTGGCATCGTGCTCACATACGTATACAATTCTAAATTTTTTCAATACGACTTGTAGGTTTCTCGGTATTTGCGGCTTTCCTCTCCCGAAAACCCCATTAAACCCAAGGTCATCCAGCTGAACCATTAAGTGGTACCTACCTATGTTACCGCGAACACACTGCCGTCGAAACGAGAAACGCCGGCTGGGGATATTTTCCGGCGAATCGTTATCTCGCACACAGAAGTCGGCGGCGTGTGCATAATAACAATATGTCGTTTAGATAATTGTACGGCTGCTGAGACAATGGTTCACAACGGCCACGAAGGCGGAAGCACCCGTTTGCGCGAAACGTCTTATCCGAGCTGTGGATCGAGTGACGTTTTTTTCCCCGCCCAGACGACGTCGTATTAAATTTAAGAAATTTAATAGCTTAAAAAAACGAAACCCAAATAATGGTACATTTTTTGAACAGCACGTCTCGCGAAAAATTCCACGAATTTAAAAACATAATATATCCCAATAGTTAATACAATGAAATTATACACGACTACAGCGATTTGTTTGTGTATACGATTTTATTAAATTCTATTTGTAATTCGAACATTTGAAGAAATTTAAATAGGTAATTTGTTTTAAATGCAATATTTGAATTAATAATATTGCAATATACCTAGTGTTACGTGTATGTTTGCTGTCATTAAATTAGCTATTATTATATTTTAAATTTTTTTCTAATTTTTCGAATTTATGAAATATTTTTTAAGTTATTTAGACAGTTGGACGTTATTTAATTTTTACTAACGTCATTAATACCTATTTAAGGTACAAAAATTTATATTTTGAAAAAAAAACTTGGATCAATAATATTATTTTGCAGCGAGAGTCCCAATATAAATTGTACGTGAAACAGTCGAATGATAATACGTAATAATTACTTATGCCCGGTTTCACCATGTAGAGTTAAAGTGTGAGTTACCGGTAACTCGAAGTTAGCACAAAAAAGTAATTTCACGACCCAGAGTTATGTGATAACTCCTGGTTAATGTAATTCTTGACTCTTGGATTTTAACTCCTGATATTTCTAGGTAATAACGAGCTAACTCTAGGTTATCAATGTTATAGGTTAGGTATTTTTTTTTGTTTTGTCGATGTTATCGTGTTTATAAACTTGATTTTTAACCGGCCAACTTTTTTGTTAAATATGAATCACAGAATATTATTTGATTATTATGAGGATGACGAGATTGACGAAGCGGTTATTGCATTGCAACAACGCCCACGAATTTTTTATGAACGAGTAAACTACTTGGAATTGTATGACAACCATGACTTTATAAGCAGATTTCGAACTTCTAAAGAAACGTTTCGCACACTATTGAGATTGATAGAAGCAGATATATCTCCACCTTCTCAAAGGTTAGTAACTTTTAATTACAGTTAAATATAGTTGCTATCAAAAAACAATCTTGTCTATTCTTAAATTTTCTTTTCTTGCACCTAAGATATTATGTTTTGTTTCAGGAACAGAGCTATATTAGCACCATGTAAATTATACATGGTGCTGAGATACCTTGCAACAGGATCATTTTTATTAACTGTCGCAGACTTAACTGGTGCCAGCGAATCCTCGGCTTGTCGATACATTCATCAAGTTTGTAGAGCCATAGCAAGGCATAGATCAAAATACATTTATTTTCCAAAAAATGCTGTTAACATGAGAAAAGTTGTTAGTGGATTTTACAACTGTAGTAGGTTCCCTAGAGTGGTAGGAGCTGTGGATTGCACTCACATCAAAATTCAATCACCAGGTAGGCAAATAACTTATAAAATTATAAAATATATATGTTGTCGTAAATTATATTGTCATTAATGTGTCCTGTATGTTTAAACTATGGTTTGTCATGAATATTGTAGGTGGAGATAATGCTGAAACATTTCGAAACAGGAAAGGTTATTTTTCTATCAATACACAATGTATTTGTAATCCGTGGCTTAAAATTATGGACATAGTGGCGCGATGGCCAGGGTCTTGCCATGATCAGATTATTTTTGATAACTCTTCAATCAAAAGTAAATTTGAAACTGGAATTTTAAAAGGATACCTATTAGGAGACGGTGGTTACGAAGTTAAGCCTTACCTAATGACTCCTCTGCTGAACCCTACCACACGGAGCCAGCAGTTGTACAATGAAAGCCAAATCAGGACAAGAAATGTTATTGAAAGGTGAATATTAAAATGAAATATATACAAACAAAGGCATCATCATTTTAAATGTATTACTTTTATGCAAGCAATTCTTTCTTATCTCTGTTTTGAAAATACATTTTTTTTTAATGTATTAAAATAGTATAATACATAATTTAAAATGTAAAAAAAGCTTCAACTTGTATGTAAAATATATGCACCTAACTTTTAGTTAATGGATAAATATTAAACAATAACATTTTACGTTTACATTACCCGCATTAATATATTATATAGTAACCTAACCTATCTTACGGTGAAACTCACTCTTCGTACGCTCCACTTTTGATAATATGCTTAACCTGGAAACATTAGAACAGTGACGTTTACATTATTATTATACGTTTTTGATTATTTTAGCTTTTTCCCGGAAATATTGACAGTCCTGAATAATCCTTAAGTAATTTGTCCTTATTCACTCCAACTCGAAGTGCGCTAACCTATAAACTTATTTATTTTGAGTATTCAAGTAACTATAACTATAAATGGCTGTGCAGTTTAGTGTGCACATTGGTTGCATACTATCACTTCATTATTATTCAGTTTTAAATGATTTTTAACATTCGTCTAAACAATGTTATTGTGGCTCGCCCGTTAAAATTAAAACAAATAAACAGGTACATCAATATTGATCAAAACACTATTATGGATCCGAGAAGTATTTCGTAACGATTTCTCACAATCAACAGAAGTGTATACAATCGCGGCCATATTTATTACGGTGTCAGTCAAAATCCAAATTTTCAAAACCAAGTTGCGTCCATAGGAAATGTGAACATAATAATATGATAGTAAAAATATGTATTTAATTTTTAAACGTACACAATATAATTAATGAAGCGCCCTCGAAGTCCCCGCCGTGTCATTATTCATTAATGATCATGGTATAATTAACCTGCAGATTTTTTTGCTACTTGCAGCCTGAGAGTTAAAAAATAACACAGTTCATATTTCATAAAAAATAAATTTTAAACAAAACGTTATTCGTGCTGAATATTGCTTTTCAGTGAAACGTATATCATACTTATAAATATATACATAATTAATATACTGTGTATTATGTTTTTGAAAATTCGGGTAATATTTCGTACTCCTCATCGCTGCAGATGATGATAATATTATTATAGTTATGTTACTTAAAAGGGTGTAGATTTTTCCATCGTTAATTTTACATTAATCAAATCGGCACGTTATAATATCGTTTTATTTTCAAACTATAGGGTCGAAATTAAATTTGGAAGTGTACGAGTTTAAAACATCGCCGTGCACCTTGGATGAGGCGGAGAGCTAATATAAATTGATTAAATCTAAAATACAGAAATACAGGTTAAGGTTTTTACTTGGGGAATTATTTTTTTTTCACTACCCACTTTCTTTAATTAAAAACATAAATAGACAAAGGAACGATGGCTGGACGACGTCCTAGGATATTAAAGTAATCAAAGTAATGTATTCGTTAATTTGATTTATTTTATTCAATCCCTTGTACGCGAAACGTTCGACAATAATATAGTGTTGATGAATTTGCTACCCCGCAGAGACAACCTGAGAAAAACCGCCCAATTAAACTGTACCTAAAGAAAATGTATTAGTTTAAAAAAACGACAATTGAACAATTTAAATTGTCTTCTTATAGATTGTGACTGGGACCATTCTTTGATTATACTATCATATTATATTTTATGGTGCTGATGTCCGACGTGTAATACGGATAATATTATGACAGTGATAATATTATAAATTATCGTAGAAAATCACAAAATGTAAAAAATAAAAAAAAATTTTAAGAAATAAGTGAATGGAGTTATGAGAGAATTAAAATGAAGAAAATTTAAAAAAAAAAACTTTCCTGGACTTCATTTAGAGCCCCTCAATATCGCTCTCTCCTATAATAGTCCTAAATATGGCCCTGGATGGAGTGTTCAGTGTTGCACAGTTATAATACTTTGGGTAAGTATGCTAATATTGAATAATGACTATCACGTATTTCCAATCTTCCGCCAAATATCCATTCGGCTGAAGCACCTCAAGGAGAATATTATGACATACCATCCTAATATTTTATTATCAACTGCTTGGGTCGTAGAGTCTTCTGTGATTTGTCATGTCTTGTTTGTCAAGGAGAACACTATATTATATATTATGTATATTGTATACCCAACGCACCCGTCGGTTTTGTAATGTGTAAAATATACGAATACGTAATAATATTTCATAGAGCAAAATTACTGCGAAGAAGTAATAATATCGTCAAAGCCACGTGCCGTGCGCTGTTATATAAAAACGTAATATTATTACTGTGAAGTCGAATGATATTTAATTAAACGAAATAATATTCACAACGTACATAGTACATACTATTATATTATTACTTATTTTCCGTATAATATTACACTCATCATATTATTATTAAATTACGTTTCAGATGATGTTTGAAGTAACGCGGCGGCGATCTCTTTTGCACGGAAAATTGTCAAAGGACGTCCAATTTTAAATGTATTCGCATACACAGCTGCAGTGCATATAAATATATTTGTTCTATATATTATATACGTTCCACGCTGATGTAGCTTCAATAGTCTCCCTCGGACGGGAAAAGTTTTTCCTGATAAATTTTCAATGAGCGCCGCGAAACCGAAAACTTTGTCTCTCACTAATTCATATTCATCATGTCGTGGCTGTGACGGTGGTCACTGAAACCCGGCATCGTTTTTCGGGAGACTTTCTTCATAAATAAAGGTAGGAACTCTCGACGGCTGTCGACGTCTTTTAGAAAGTATATACCTATATACGTGTGCACAGACATTTTTTTTTGATTTACAGAGGAACACTCGGCTGTCCGAATCCAAAGGCCGGTAGATGTTGTACGCATTACGCACTATATGTAAGTCATAATATAATTACAGTCGTAGCTGTGGCGGGGCTGATAGCAACCGGTTACAGGTAAGGTGCGACCATAGACCTATAAACTAAGTTTGAACGACGGTGCGTTGATATAATATTAATTTTTTATTTCTCGAACACCGTTCGACTCGAGTTGACTCTCTGACGTATTAGCGCTGACAAAGATGCATAATTTATAATGTTATACTTTACGAGACATCAATCGCAGTGTTGTACACTAGTGAAGTTTCAATGCGACGTGCCAATCACGGGTGGCCGTTTAGGCCCCATTGTGTGGTGGAGTTAGAGTGCTCTCGTCCTCTTGGGAAAAATAATATGAACTTAAATATTAAATATTTGATGAACGGTCGTATAGTGAAAGAGTGAACTAGTATACGTCGAGAGGATAGAATGACAATATTAATTACATCCGACAAATCATGTTCGGAACTGGAAGAAGAGATTTGCAGTTCTGATTATTTGAATAAAATGGAAAAAGTAAATGTTTTTATTTTATACTCAACACAAAATACCGAACTGTGACGACAGTAGACTAATTATTTCACATTTTGTTTTAATTTATGTCCTATGGTGACCTCCGGGGAGGCGGCTATCAAAGATTACATAATTTTCAATTATGCTTATCCTCTACGTATATACTATATACAGCTGCAAGTAATATAAAACTCGTTTTTTTGTGTATCTTTATTTTGTATTACATCCGCAATACAATTTAAGTTAAAAATACTAAAAGCAGAAGTGTTACTTTACTTACTTTTATGAAAAAAAATGTTTAATTGTTTTTCAAAATGAGAAAAATGACGATATCACGAGAAATTATTCTCGATTATCGACGTGTGGTGATTGTTGGGGGAGGGGGAAATATACAAATATAAGTGCCCTTTTCTTATTTTACGAACGTGGTCACTTTAGCTATATAGGTAGGTTATACTTACCTAAATAGTAAATTATATTATTTAGTATACGCGCTTGGTCAAAACTATACGATGGACATAACCACCATGATAATTAATATAAATACCAATTTATAAATATGGTACATTTAAGTTTTATGTCGTATTATATTCTTCAAATGTATGATGGACTGTGAATTCTAGTGATATCTTTTTCGTCTGGTACACACGCTCGGGACACGTAAAACCTAGAGATATCGTTGTCAAGTCGTGTCAACTATAACTAGGTAATATAATATTATAAATAATGACGTCGTGTCGCACATAGACGGAGGCTGTACAAACGAAAATATGGAAAACGCAATCGCATTTTTTTGGGCAGCAGAAAGCGTTTGCAGAGGCGAGACATATACGTCGTATAAACAACACGACCAGAGCAAACCGTTAAGACCGGGTCAGCTGAAACATTTTTAGGTGTCAGTTAAGTGCCCGACATCAATGTACCGCGGTCATACACACACACACCGAGTATAAGTCACATATGTGTACCTATATATTATACAGTATGGCTTACCCGGTGGTACTTAGAGCGGTACCTATATACTGGTTGTTGTTGTTGTTGTTGTCGTGGTTGTTGCCGATGTTACCGAGCGGGCGATAGAATAAAGTATGTGCATATATATATAAAATACATTCGCGTGAAAAACGCAATAACGGAGCCGTTAAGTCGAGTTAATAATAATAAAAAAAAAAGAAAAAAACCGACAACAATAATAAAACGAAGCGGCAATAACGCAACGAAATCGCGGACATTTTTATATAGAGTTTTAAAAATAGCGGAGGCTAACGGACCAGTGCACCACTATTTTCATGTGAGAGAGTTTTCCGCTTGTCGTGTGCGGTAAGTAACGGCGTATAATAGTGCACATAATAATAATATCTATGTGAGCCACGTGATGTTCTAATATACTAGTCCTGAGCTAGACGTGTAAGATATATTATTATAATAGTTATTACAACAGCCAAAGACGACGACACATTGACGACGACGACGAGGCCGACCGATAATGTTATTATCGTCACTGACCATCTCCGACTGTGCATTATTTATTTATTTTTTTTTTTTTGAAAATTATAATACATTATATAAATATAATATCTTACGCTATTGTATTATTATACCTAG